ATGTAATACTCTTTGTAATACTTTAAGCAATAAAAAAAATAAAAAAATAATTTAAAAAAAAGAAAGAACAGTCCATACGATCGAGGCAAAAGGAGGAGCTTCCGGGGAAGATGCACAGAAGTGGGCTGTTGCATGCTCAGTTGTATGCTCACACTTTCCGCCATTGGGGTTGTCAGAGTTGGAACAGTATATTTATTTCCATGCATCTTTGTGCTGTGTGAAACTTTTTTCTACCACTGCATATATATTATTAATAAAATATTCCTTTAAAAATATTAGCTCATTCCTTATGGGTATTAATGACTAGAGGTTATCTTGTGTGCCTTCATGCATATCTGTAGGCAGAATCACGTTCAGTGAATATTGGACAAGATGAGAGCTTAAATGAGAATTTCACTTTTTTAAATATCCAGAGCAAACAATTCTACAAAATGTTTCTTATAAATGGCAGACCTGTGTTTAAAACTCCCACCCTAAGAAAAACCATTACTTAACCTTGCCCTTGAGTTTTTGTGGGGTTGTTTCATGAACTCTGTTCCACTGGTAACAGAAAGTAGTCACTTTGGAGGAACTATTAGTTGAGGTTTGTATGAAACCCTGAAATCAAGACTGTGATTCTGCAAATAAAACCATCAAACAACCTACCACAAGGCCTTCAATGTCCAAAACAGCAAAATACATCTGGTTCCAATTATTTCAGTAATTAAGACAACTTTCAATATATACTTTGAACAGAGTAATAAGGTTCCAATTATTTCAGTAATTAAGACAACTTTCAATATATACTTTGAACAGAGTAATAATGAAAGAACAAATAAGCACGTGTGTAGTAGTGGCAGTGGATAGGAATAATGCAGTATTTTTTCTTTAAATGCTAAGTGAGATTTTGTTCCAAGAAAAATGACCCTGCCTTAGCTGGTTTGACTCAGTGGATAGAACGTGGGCCTGCGGACTGAAAGGTCCCAGATTCGATTCCAGTCAAGGGCACATGCCTGGGTTGCGGGTTCAATCCCCAGTTGGGGGCATGCAGGAGGCAGCCAATCAATGATTCTCTCTCATCATTGATGTTTCTATCTCTCTCCTCCCTTCCTCTCTGAAATTAATAAAAATATTTTAAAAAAAGAAAAATGATCCTGAGCACTTTTGCAGAATGTAGACATTAGAATTCTTCCCTTGAAGCACGTGGTTTATTTATTAAAACTGGACACATACTTCCTCCTACCTGCAAATGTAATGACTATATCCACCTTTAATCCATCAATACTTGACTGTCCACCAGACCAAATGTGTTATATTTTACTGACCAGTTCTAAAGACTTTATATAAAAGCCAAAAGCTGTGAGTGAACAATTTTCTTCTCAATAAACAGAAGCTGGATTGAAGGGAGAGAACAGAGACCATTCTGTGCTCCATGCTCAAGGACTATGCACTGCACCATGCAGATGTGACATTAGCCACTATACTTTACCCTGGGTGTTTTAATAGGCACCGACTTATAATTATATGACATTTGTATATTGGTTTATTGTATTCACTGGGCCTTGTCCTGGAAACTCGATGTGACTCTGGTTAGCTACATCTCTCATGTATATGGAGGATGCTCCCCTGCATCGATCTGCATGCACCTTTGTCCACGGGCTCCTGTAGGGAGCCGTGCTGTGTGGAGCTGCTTTCCAGGCCGTGTTTTACTGGTGCTGAAAGTAATGTGATGCAGATAACGTGCAGTTAGTTGCCTTTCTGTGTTCTGTTCTTCATTATGCTTGTCCATGTCTCTGCTGTTCAGTGAAGGCACCTTTTGGTTGCACTTGAGTTAGTTCTGCTGCATTGTCATATGTACTAATTACGTGCTCCTGGAAAATGAAAATACAACTATTTTCTTTCACCAAATTGAAAAATTATTCTCTAAAATATAAAGCCAATTCATTGTTCATTTCATTTCCAAATAATTTTTAAGGTAACAATCTGGCTTTCAAACTTTAGAGACTAGAACAAAAAAATTTGAAAGAATTAATAGCTTTAATCCCAAGGTCTAAAATGTAATATATATGTGGTGGTAGATGGGCTTGGGTGTAATGGGCCTGACCTAAGGGAGAGAAAATTCCATGAATCATTTTTATGAAATCCATGACCTCTTTCAACCCTCTAACCTACTGAGTAGTAGTCTTATATGACACAAAATGAATCTCTTAATTCTGAGCCATTTGTTTCCTTTTTACCAGTAGGATCAGGCTTATGATTTTTCCAAAAGTTACAGCTAAAGACATCATAGTCTTTGTTGTCTAAAATGTACCTGTGTGCTTGTTCTGTACTATGCTTGCTTATTAACTTGAAATTACATGTGCGGTTTTTGTTGTTTTAAGGCACTCAACCAGAATGCTGAACTAAGGAGTCGGTTGAGCAGAATACACTCAGAATCTATTATTTGTGATCAGGTTGTCAGTGTAAATATTATTCCTAGCCCTGATGAGGTAAGGCTCAATTTTAATAGATGTGGAGTACTTATTTTATAGCATCTAAATCTACTGCATATTTTGTTTATTTTTATACAGTTCTTTCACTATTAACATCATTCCCTGCATAAATATTTGTGTTGCTGGCAGTTCAGTATTCTTTGGAGGGAAGGATGTACATGAGCTTGACATTCTTGGTGATCAGGGTCTATTTTTATCTATTCCTACGTTCACCGGATGCCACTGAATATTTAGTTTATGTCTACTCCATCTGGTGAATTTTCTGTATCTGTCTCAGTCTTCATTTGAAATGTTCATATTATGAAATGGCTCATGCAATGTTTGTTTTTTTTAATGTTTAGCTGAGAAATTGCTAAATGAATATTTTCTTAAAGTTTGTTTTTAAAGTCCTATCTAAGTAGTCGTCTGACCTTTCTAAGATAATACGAATGGTGCTGCTATTGCTGCTGATGATGATAATTAATAGCTAATGTGTGTTGAGTGAATGCTTATTATGTGCTGGGCGTTGTGCTAACCCCTTTACATGTGTTATCTCATTTGACACTCCCAATAACCCTCTGAGGTAGGTGCTCTTATTCCATTTTTTCAGAAGAATTTTTGAAGAAATGGTAAGAGGATAGGAGAACATTCAGTATTTTGGCTAAACTTAAGTATGTAATTATTTTTTAACACTTTTTAAAATTATTGTTTTATCGCATGAGAATTAACACTTTGCAACAGTGATATTAGACCTTTAGATATAGTCCTACATACAACAAGGTGAGAGTTTTACCTAATATGAAGGTCATATTTGTGCCAAAAACATTTTTACTAGAAATCTACAAGTGCAGCAGTTCTCCCATCTTAACTCCTTGAGAAATGTCATCTCAAGGCAGCTTCTCTGAAGTTGCCCACCTGCCTGGTACCCATGGTCTCTGATGACACTAATGCTCACTCAGCTGCCCAGAAATAATCTAGAAGTATTTCTAAAACTCTATCATTTAAATATTAGTTAGCAGTCTCAGTTTGAATCTTTTTAAACCTGAAATGTTTACTAGAATGTACATATGTAGAATGTATATATTACAGTTCTCTTACACATATTTTAATGGAAACTTAAATATCTTTGTTGAGAATTATATTTATCACTGACTGAATGAAAAATACAGTTTGAAATAAGGTTTAATACTCTAGTCATGTTTCCTTGCAAAATGACTTTTGTATATTCTGTTTTAAAAATTAGTCTTGTAGATTGTTTTCTTAGAATATTTGTAGTATTTCTTCAAATACTTTTTGAGGTTTAGTATACTAGTTGGAATATAGCTAGTAATGACAGACATAAGTATATGAGAATGAACTCATTACTACAGTCAGTTTGGTGTATTGATAGGGACCCAGTTTGTTAAAGTCCACTTAATATTAGGCATAAATTTGAAATCAAGTCATGGTATCAGCACCTTTCAACTATGCCTTTTAGATTCTTTAGACATATTGAAAGAACATTTATGCAGTCATTTCTGAGTTGCAAGTGAAAATTACTTGTGGTCATCACTCTTTTAACATATGGTGTGAAATTCTCTAGAAATCTGGGTAGCACATCATGGTCTAATTTGAACAAATAGCTAGTCTTTGTACCAATAATGATTGCACCATATGCTTCTCTCTTCTGTAGCCTGGCGAGCAAATCCATGTCAGTCTCCCTCTGTCACAGCAAGTAGCAAATGAGAGCCGCCTCTCCATGTCAGAATCTGTCTCTGAGTTCTTTGATGCCCAAGAGGTGCTCCTCTCTGCAAGCTCATCAGAGAATGAGGTAAGGTTCTTTGGGGTGTCAGCCCCAACTGTGAGTTTGTGTTAAAGAAAGTGAGATTCTGAGACTTTTTTTAACATCATTGTAAGATATCCAAGTTGTAACAAAGGCAAAAGCATGAAAACTATGTTGGTTCCTATTTACTGAGCACTTAATGCTTCTGAACATCAACTTATGACTCTTAAATTTGATGCATAAAGGGAAAGAATCAAGCACTTATTCTAATTTTCTTGTATGATTTATATTTTAGAGTAACCAAATAGTTGATTATATAGAGTATTATATAGAAAGAGACTAGCTAATCATTGTAGAAAGAATGAAAGAATTTGAGTCATCATTCATGCTTGTACATGTATTATATAACACTAGAGGGCCAGTGCACAGATTCGTGCACTGGTGGGGTCCCTCAGCTTGGCCTGCAGGATCAGGCCGAAACCGACATTCCGACATCCCGCTAGGGGTCCCGGATTGTGAGAGGGTGCAGGCCAGGCTGAGGGACCCCACTGGTGCATAATCAGGGCCAGGGAGGGACCGCAGGAGGGCTCCAGGGTGTGTCCAGCCCATCTTGCCCAGTTCCAATCGGCTGGACCCCAGGAGCAAGCTACCCTACCAGTCAGCACATCTCCCCCCTGGTGGTCAGTGCACATCATAGTGACTGGTCAAACGGTCGAATGAATGGTCGGACACTTAGCATATTAGGCTTTTATTATATAGGATATTATGTATAAAGATATCTTAACCAGAGACGTGAATTTGAACTGAGAAGGATAATGTCTAGCATATTTAGTTGGGTAATTATGGTCTGGGGAGGTTACCAGTGACTATCATAAAAGCTTTATTGGATTGTTTTCATGCCCATGCGTCTTGGCAAGGTTGTGGCAACAAGGAATCTCTTATTTAGTCAGGTTTCAGAAATGTATTCTTTTACTGAAATTTAGTCAAGTAGGCTTTATTTTTATTATTATTATTATTATTATTTTGGCATGGGAGAAGCAGCCAAAAGTTTTCCCACATAGTTGATTAGCAATATTATCATTTGAGATTGCAAATCTGTACTGCATTTTGACCCCAAAAAAAAGAAACAAAATAGTTGCTAAATGCTATTTTTATATGCATAGATTATAGTTTGGAAGAAAACATTCTGACAATTAGTAGTAGTTGTTTTTGGATATTTGTAATTACCAGTGATTTTAGAAATATAAATGAGTGGAAAAGAGAAAGAAATAATGAGCACATATATCACTTTTATAATGGAGGAAAGGTAAAGTAGAAATCTTATATCAGGCACTAAATTTGATATGCACCTGCCTCCCAGGTCCCTAATCATGCATTACCAGATTCACAGACTCCCATTCACAACTGAGTACTTGTTTAATTATTCATAGTGATAATTAATGCTATCAGATAGACAAAATAATCAGGCTTGCTGATTAGCGTCTCTTTCCCTGTAGGCAAATCTGCATGGGAAGCCTAATTGTAGTCAGGAGGTTGTTTGGTGAGCAAGGAAAGACTGGAAGCAGGAGAAGTGAGTTGAGTAAACTAGAGGCCAGGAGGGCCAGGATATAATAGCTTCAACCTTCCATCTCCTTAATAAGGAGGGATACGCTGCCACATGGATGGGTTATTTGTGTCTGTGATCCAGTCTCGATGCCCCAGGGACCACCATTCTGGAGACATGCTACCAGCATTTTCTTTTCTGACTCTTCTTTTTCTGAGTTCCCATTGCTGACCAGTTCTTCATCCTTCTTCAATCAAATTACAGTCAAACTGGACATTACATTATCTGGGCTCTGACCCATCATCTGATGATTACAGCTTATCTCTTAGAAAGAGACCTTATTTCTATTTCAAAGTTCTGGGGCATACTCAACTGGGAGGCCGATTGCCCTTGGATAGACAATGGCAATGCAGAAATGAAGAAGATATGAAACAGGTTATTGCACAAGTCCAAGCAAGGTGGTGGTGTCGCCTTGGCCGAGTTACTCAGTGGGTTGGAGCATTGTCCCATTAACCAAAAGGTTGGGGTTCGATTCCCAGTCAGGGCACAAGCCTAGGTTGTGAATTCGATTCCCTGGTCAAGGCATATATGGGAGACAACCAATTGATGTTTCTCACATCAATGTTTCTCTCTCTCTCTCTCTCTTCCTCTTCCTTTCTCTCTAAAAATCACTGGCTCATAGACTTGAGGGAGAGTCATAGGGCCTCCTTTTTTGTATATTCTTGTTGCATTGTACTGAAATATTTCTGGCTGTGTACTAGCCTCCCACCCCAGCTAAGACAGGGAGCTACTTATTTTGAGCCATTCTATATTCATGGAAGACCCTAAAGTGTTCACTGCACATATGTCAAATGCATTTCCCACTATGACCTCTGCTTTTAATTTGAGCAACATCTTGTGTTTAATTGTTTGATTTTCTGAACTTTCAATACTGAACAAGAATCCTGATCCTTTTTATATTTTTTTCCTTCTCTAGGCTTCAGATGATGAGTCTTACATCAGTGATGTGAGTGATAATATATCGGAAGACAACACCAGTGTTGCAGACAACATTTCTCGGCAAAGTATGCATCCTTTCAGCTTGCAGGTTCTTCTCTCTTCATGCCAAATTACAAGGCTGGTGTTCCAGTGAACAATCACTCCCTCCCAAATTAATTGTTCCTTTTATAGTTGATAGTTTGATAGATTTTGTATTTGTATAATCTGTTGAGGTAAATGGTTCTAAAATCTGTTAGGTAAATGATTTTGAAAAGGTTTTATTTCTTGCTTAAACCAAAAATTGAGTCCTTCTTATTATTAAATATATTTAACTTTTAAAATTTTGACTTTTTTTCTTGAATATTTTAGTATAGTTAACACCCTGTTTGAAAAACTGTACACTAATATTTTTTGCTTTTATTAGCAACCTTGTATTGAAATAATTCCATTCGTTCTTTTTTTTAAAAATATATTTCTTTATTGATTTCAGAGAGGAAGGGAGAAGGAGAGAGAGAGATAGAAACATCAGTGATGAGAGAGAATCACTGATCGGCTGCCTCCTGCACACCCCCTACTGGGGATCAAGCCCGCAACCCAGGCATGTGCCCTTGGCCGGAATCGAACCCGGGACCCATCGGTCCGCAGGCTGATGCTCTATCCACTGAGCCAAGCCGACTAGGGCTCCATTCGTTCTTGAGGGAGTATAATAAAAGGCTTGAGAAATGTATCCCAGTCAGAATTATTTGAAAGGGTTATTTCCCTCCCGGGTTTTATGAAAAGCAAAGTATCTTTCATCATGATTCTCATCTCCCGATTTCAGTCTTGAATGGGGAGCTTACAGGAGGGGCCTTCCGGAATGGACGCCGAACGTGCCTGCCAGCTCCCTGTCCTGACACCAGTAACATTAACCTGTGGAACATCTTGAGGAACAACATTGGTAAAGACCTATCTAAAGTGTCTATGCCTGTGGAGCTAAACGAACCGCTCAACACCCTGCAGCATCTCTGCGAGGAGATGGAGTACAGCGAGCTTCTGGACAAGGCTTCGGAAACTGACGACCCCTATGAGCGCATGGTAATAAATAACAGAGCCAAGCTCTGCGGGCATTTGTCAACCCCGGGCCTGGGCTAAGGCAGAATTCATTGTGATGGCACAGTTGGTTTCTGCATAACATTCTCACTGCATAGGTAAGAGAGGAATTGGTCCATTTGCATAAGTCCACTAGAAGATACACACTCTGTGACTTAAGCTTGGTTCCGAGTGTTTCTAAAGTTAGGATGTAAAAATCACTCTTCCTACGGGTTGAAGGCATGCCGAGCGAGCCTCGCTTTGTTAACTTTTCCCGAATGCCAAGAGAGCCTTTTTGTTCGGGAACTTGGCTCTGAGGATGGAACCTCCTGTTTGTGCTTTGCCCTGGCCTCTGTTCCGCATGACTGTCAAACACTTGACCTGCCCTCAGAAAAGCACCAACAGCCACAACCCTTGTGCACGTGGCACTAAGATTGTGCAGACAGCATCACCTGTAAACGGGGTTTCAGAAACTTTGAACTTGTGATACTCAGGAAATTGGGTGGACAGATGAATGAAAAATACTTGGGCTTCATTGCCTGCTGGTTCCCATGAGAGGCGTTTAACCTTGTTTTCCCCCATGAGTGTATGAAGGGTCTGCGTAAATAATAGAAAATGCAAATGCCGTGCAGTCAGCACCCAGTGACGGGGGTTGTAAAATCTAGAGGAATAAGGGACAAACAGACCTGGAAGTAGTCTCTCCTATATTATTTTCCTTTCTTAAATGTTTTAACAGGTTCTTATTGCTGCATTTGCAGTTTCAGGATATTGCTCTACCTATTTCAGAGCAGGAAGTAAGCCATTCAACCCTGTCCTTGGGGAGACTTATGAATGCATTAGAGAGGACAAGGGATTCCGCTTTTTCTCAGAACAGGTAAGTCCCACTGCATCAAGGAGGCTTCTGTGTAGGTAGCTGGGCAGTTTGATGATGAAAATATTTTGTAAACCTCTGTTTGGGGTGGGTTACGATACTAATGGACAACTCAATTTATTTATATAATTGCCCCCTATAAATATATATAAGTTCTCTGTGTTTAAACACAGAAGTCTTAAAAGTTCAAGATTCAATAATTTACTTGTATCTTTTGAGAAAAATTCATTAATAGAGATGGATGAGCGGAGTAGTTTTTATTTGGCAGAAGCCAATATACGTTGTTTAAAAAAAAGTTGTTGTTTATTGAAGTTTTAACACTGATGTCAAAACTTTCTGTTTTGTTTTTAATTACCAGGTTAGCCATCATCCACCCATTTCTGCCTGTCACTGTGAATCCAAGAATTTTGTGTTTTGGCAAGGTTTGTTTTTCAATTACAACTTAAAAACCCAACTGATTGTCCTATGGGACAGTTTCTGGTCTCCAAAACTGGAACTCAGCTTACATTGCTACCTTTGGAACTTGGAGAATGTTCGTAATTGATGCAGAGTTCAGTTCAAGAAATTAGATTTCCTGTTTGAAATATTAAACCATGTTATCTAGGAGATGAGGTTGTTTAGGAAGCAAGCCCTATGGATCAGCAGAGCTCCCAGCTGACTGTGCCAGCTCGGGGCTATCACTTTACCTCATTATGCCTCATTGTCTCTATTTTAAGCATGAAGATTTTATCTGCTATCTTCTTGCTTCCTGAGGGTGTACAAATACATCTTAGTCCTAAAGGAAGACTCTGTGGCACATCATCTGTGGTGACAGTCTACTAAGTATGTAAATATTGCACTGATTTCTGGTCTTTAAGTCATTGAGGTGTTTGGATTGGAGTCTATTGAACCAATGCCCGTTGTCCAATCAGAATGTCACAAACTTGCCTAAAATAAAATGTTTCAAAATCCCTTTAGCAAGAATACATAATATTAAGTATAAATAGTTTATGTTCAGAAGGATGCTTCATTTGCTTCTCATACATCCACACTTCCTCAACCTGAAAACATGCAGAATGATAGAGCACTGTAACTGCGCTTTATTGCAAAATAAGAAAAGAAATCATTTCTTGGTCATAACATAGAGTCAGAAATTTGGTGGGGTCAGCACTAAGCTCCCTTAGTTCATCAGAATGGGACCAGGTGGTTATTATGAATGCACAGGTAAACCTGAGTTTCCACAAGTCAAACATAAAGCTTCACGTGAGATAAAGTGCTGGGCCCTGGAGTCATATCTCACCCAGTGTAGGAACATATTCATTAAGTTAATCTCACTTTCTCATAACCTTATCTATCTGTATTTAGAGATTTTATTTTTGTACTGGTCTCCCAAATCATATAACTCTTTAAATAAATGTGTATGTAAATCCATACTGCCATTAATTTTGCTATAAACTCACTTGTCTCTATATAAACTATTTCCACTATCTAGTTAAAACTTATAACATTTACCCAGACAGTAAGGCATAGCAAAGTATACATACGTATGTGTATGTGAATGTGCACACATACACACATGTATTATCCCAGGCTTTCCCCAGTTTTGTTAGTTGTAAACAAATATGAAACATGTGTTACGAAGAAATATAAATAGTAGGTTTTTTTGGTTCACAGTTAATTTTTTTCACTTTGGGCCATCCTTGGGCATTTGTTATGTTAAATCAACAATATAGAATCAATTGTAATTACAAAAGCTCTTTGTGAAATGTAAAGTGTAATACAAACTTTAGTTTTTATAGAATAAATCATTAGACGTAGAGTATATATTTCTTGTCCTCTGCCTGTGTCATAGATATCAGGTGGAAGAACAAGTTCTGGGGGAAGTCGATGGAAATCCTGCCTGTGGGAACGCTGAATGTCATGCTTCCAAAGTAGGTTTCTCTCTTCGTCCTTTTGGTCTCTTACCTGCTTTTCAAAATCAGAAATGGGTGTTTGTGTCCCTGTATGGCCAAAGCATCTGTTAGTTTTACCAGAGTGCTGAGAATGTTCTCCCACAAAAGCAAGCAAGAACTTTAGCATGTGCATTAAGCTTCCTATTTATTTCTTCACGTCCCCCAGTCATCAGTCAATACCAGGTACCTACCTGTCCCAGTCACTGGGTTTGCATTTTATATGAAAGAGTCTCATTTTGACCCATTTCTTCTTATAAAACTTACGATTTCATTTTGAGTTAATCTTAGATTCAGGGACTATTTTTAATTTCTAAGTTATTTTATTAAGGAAGAGTGATAAAATTCTTATATGGCTGTTTTCCAAAGACTATAGCCTTTAAATCTTTTCAAATTAGTTGAAGTTTTCATTGAAGCCAAAGGCTTAATTAGTTTTGTTTCTGTCTTCAGTTTGTTGGTTTGGTTTGGTTTTTGTCTATTTGAAGATGGACTGGATATGGAGGAAGGTGGAGAAAGAGGAATTCCCAGGACCACAAAATAAACTGTCAATATTTGCAAACTCATGAGGAAGAAAGAATTTTCCCAGTGGTATATAGTTCCTACATCATACCAATTCATATATTTTTTAGAAACTTAAAGCATTTTTTAATTTTGAAGTAACATTTTATTAATAAATATACATAACATGCAAATGTGACTTGAAGCTATGTCACCTTGTTCCTTAGCAGAAAATCTGTAACCTTACTCCCTGGGGTTTGCATTACATTCATGCTGCCTTAGTTATTATGCACATCAGTCTTTTCCCGAAGAATCATTCGCAACTTTGGTGTTAACTTAGAAAAGGAAACAATGTCCTCAGAGTAATCTTTCTTAAATGCATGCCCTGTCTGCCTCTCTGTTCCCTGGAATCCTTCCACAGTGGCCCATTGCCTGCAGGCTAAATCAGATGCATGGGTGGGTCTTGAGGGTTTCCCTGCTCTGCCCACTACACCTTTCTACCTGGCCTCCCACCACACACGCTCACTGTAGCACACCACTCCCAGTGCCCCCGTGTGCCGTGCTCTTCTGACTTCTGATGCTTTTTCCCAGCCTCCTCTAGCAAGTCTTTCTTGACACTCAGCCCACATTACAGGCAGATCTAAGGACTACGGTCTCCCCCTTCTGTGCTCTCATGTTACTTCCTCATCATATCTTATTGTAAGTATTTGTTGGCACATCCATCTACCCCATCATACTGTTGGCTCCAGGAGAGCAAGAAACTGGCCCTGTTCACCTTCGTAGTTAGCACCTGGCCCATAAAAAGCACTGACTTGTTCCTTAAATGAACGAATCATGTCGTAAATGTCCTTGAACACATAGAAACTTTCAACAAAGAAATGAAAAGAAAATGAGGGAAAAGGGAGCTTTGGCCAAAGAATATTCTCATTAGTAAAAATAGTAATATATGTGTGTGGCTTTCATTGTTTTTTAATCCTTGTTGTATTCTTTGCTAGGTATGGAGATTGCTATGTGTGGAATAAAGTCACCACGTGCATACACAACATTCTCAGTGGGAGGAGGTGGATAGAGCATTATGGAGAAGTGACCATCAGGAATACCAAAAGCAGTGTTTGCATTTGCAAACTCACATTTGTCAAGGTAAATAATGACTTTAACAGTAAAGAAAAAATAACATGATATTCTTCCTCTAAGGAGGAAATAAACCAATTACCTTCAACAGCCTCAAGTCTGTCCCGTATCATTGATACTTAAGAACATTTCAGGTAGGAAAGCTGAACCAAAACTAACTGACGGCATTCCTCAAGGCATGCAGACTTCTGAGTGTGTGGAGGCCCAAAAAGGCATCATCTCAAAACAGAAAAAAAAAATTCTTCTTAAAGAATTTCTTTCTTAGCATAGGAAAGCAGAACCAAAACCAACTGACGGCATTCCTCAAGGCGTGCAGACTTCTAAGTGTGTGGAGGCCCAAAAAGGCACCATCTCAAAACAGAAAAAAAAAAATTCTTCTTAAAGAATTTCTTTCTTAGCAACCCATCAGAAGTTCATTCAGGAAAATTCCAGAAAACACTTCTTGCCTTTAATAAGTCTTCTGGTTTCTATTTCTATTCCTATTTTTGCCTATAACAAGTTCTCTGGTTTATATTCCTATTTTTATTCCTGCTTGATTACAACATGTTCAAGTGATCTATTTTAGGGACCTAATTATACTGCAGTTGTCTTTTTCTGAGAATGCATATAGATGATAGCTTCCAGTCACTATAAGCTTACCCAACTCTGCCACTATTATAATACAGATAAGTTCACGAAAAAAAAATTACCTTTACTAACAAGAGAAGATGTCTGGGCCCTAGCCGGTTTGGCTCAGTAGATAGACAGAAGGGTCCTGGGTTCAACCCCGGTCAAGGGCACGTACCTCAGTTGCAGGCTCGATCCCAGGCCCTGGTCAGGGCGTGCACAGGCGGCAACCAATGGATATGTTTCTCTCACATTGATGTTTCTCTCTCCCTGTCTCTCTACCTCCCTTCCACTCTCTCTAAAAATCAGTGGGAAATCCCTAACTGGTTTGGCTCAGTGGATAGAGCGTCGGCCTGTGGACTCAAGGGTCCTGGGTTTGATTCTAGTCAAGGGCATGTACCTTGGTTGCGGGCACATACCCAATGGGGGGGGCGGGTGTGCAGGAGGCAGCTGATCGATGTTTCTAACTCTCTATCCCTCTCCCTTCCTCTCTGTAAAAAATCAATAAAATATATATTTTTTAAAAATCAGTGGGAAGAGTCGGCCTGGTGGTCAAATCCCTCTAGTTTTAACTACAACAATCAAGGCTTAACTAGAACAAGACTGCGCACAAAGACCACTAGAGGGTGCACCAAGAAAGCATAAAAAATGCGGAGACAAAAAAACATGACAGAAATGGAGGATATAGAGCTAAAAAACGCAGCAGCCGATCAGTGTTTCTCTCTCTCTCATCATTGATGTTTCTATCTCTCCCTTCCTCTCTAAAACCCATAAAAATATTTTTTTAAAGAAAAATATCCTCAAGTGAGGATTAACAAACAAAAAAGGATGTCAGGGATGGAGGTTCCTACAGAGCACCATTTTCCCTGGTCCCTGCTCAGACGTGGCACATGAGGTCATCACTGTGCTGTTTAGGGGTGCTACCGAATCCATCAGGGTCCAGAAACTCCACCCACCCTCTTCATCTCTTCTAGTTCCGATCTCATTCTAGACACAGGTAACATAATTGGAGCCTTAATACTCAAAATTTTCTCTTCTGGTCGTGTTCATTTTAATGGAATACATTTATTTTAGTTTAACATGTTTTTCTTTTTTTTCCTCTTTTTAAATAGGTTTATTAGGTGGCTCAGAACTGAAGAGCCAGGATGGTTATTTGCTCTGAATGAGTGATGACAGTAAATGTATGCATTCAGTTTGGTAGGCTATGAGAAACTTTGGTTTAGGTCTGCCCTGATATATGCAAAGCTCAGGACAAGAATCCAAATGAAATCCCTATGCCATATGGGTAAATATTTGGAATATGTAAATCAAACCTACAACCTGTCAAATAAAACATCTTCTATTTTTTTATCCTGACAAATATATACCTTTCATAGAAAAGCCTGCCAGGCCAGGTCCAATGCTTCGGAACTCGAGCTAGAGGCCTGGCAGTACAGAGAGCCAGTCCTGGCCCAGGCTCCTCCCCACTTGCCCCCACCAGCAGCTCCGTCCTGCACTGCAGGCCTCACACACACATAGGTGATCCTGCCCCACATCTTCGCTCTGTCCCCACCCCCTCAAACAGCCACCTCAGGCCTACAGATTCACACACTGGAGGTTGGTCTGCCCTTCTGTGGGTGACTCCAAAGCAAAGGCTTGTGCAGGCTGTGGATAGGCTTGGAGCCAATCGGACAGCAAAGTGTGGGGCTCTCCATACTTGGGGCCGGATCTAGAGCGAAGGCCATGGGATCTGGCGGGGTAAATCCCACTGACTTCACACCTTTTGGGGAGGAGCTTGGCTGGGAGAAAGCCAGAGCAGGGTCCTTATGGTAAAATTTAGCCATTTACAGAGACGTGAAAAATATTCCACAAACTACTTCCATAGCATTACCAGTTGAAAATCATTCAAATCCATGAGCAAAAGGACAATTCAAGACAGGAGGATCTGAGGGAGAAATTACTAGCCTATAAATTAGTGTGTGGTTGAGAGAGAAGTTGGGCCTTCTTGAGCCTTCTCTGCCGAGCGATAGCGTGGAGTGGAGACTTAGAAATGAGGAAAGCCACCCTTCCTTACAAAACATCTGGAGCTGGAGTTCTGGAAGTGGTTTAAATAAGACACTTCAAGGTTAAGAAAATCTTCCACGTGGGAATTACAGGGATTGGTGTTGTTGAGGAAATCCGGTGTTTTCATTGGGTTTGGTTTTTCCAGGTGAATTATTGGAATTCTAATGTGAATGAAGTCCAGGGGGTTGTGATGGACCAGGAGGGGAAGGTGGTGCACCGGCTGTTTGGGAAATGGCACGAGGGGCTCTACTGCGGCGTGGCCCCATCTGCAAAGTGCGTCTGGAGACCAGGTGAGACCCACAGGAGTGTCCAGCCTCAGAAGGCGCCTGAGAGAAGTGACAGAGGGAGGGAAAGTCAATCATTCCATGGGGTCTACCTTATGTTTTCTTTAATAATGAGGTTAAAAACCTAGATGCTACGGCAAATGTAGTTCTATTTATATTTAACATGTAAATCATATAAGTCCCAATATTTGATAATGAGTTATAAAATTTAGGCACATCTGACAAGTGGTCTTCCCGGGTGTAAAATCACGCTAAATGCCTCCATTTCAAATGGTAAGTACGTTTAGTCAAGAGTTTAGTTAAATGAAATACACAAACTCAAATCCTTATTCCTGGTATTTATTCTGTTTTCATAAAGCAAAGGATAGCCTGTAAACGTCTATAATTCACAAATTTAATAACTTACTAGAATAAGTTATCTTTTTACTTGAGCTGCAAAAAGCTGCCATATGTTGACATTTAATGAATCAAGTTCTGATAATACACTAGCGCGTCATTGAATATCAAGTATAAATGGAACAAGTCCCATCTGACAAACATTTTCATCACAATGTTGTCAGTTAAGCCCTAACTTTAATGTTAGTTGTTAGTTTCCTAAGTGACCTCCATGTGTACATCAATTTCCTGCATGTGGAGTGGCCAGTTCGTTCTGCAGTGATTTATTGAGTACTGACTGTGCAGCAGGCTTTGCTCTGGACGTGTGGAATCCATCAACGAGCAACACATACAAAGATTCTGCCTTTGAGTTTAGTTTAAAAGTATCAATAAATATTAATTTAGATGTGCATTTTTTTCTTTTCTAAAAGGAAGTAAAGTGTTTCTGGTGAAATCTCAATGTTCATAGCTCATCATCCTGGCATTTAGTTACCTAGCTGAATATTTGAGAGAAAAATTATGGTGTAGTTTACCCAGTGAAGACTACTGTATGTGTGCAAAGTTTTATTTTAAAGGCTAGAGTCTATTAAGTATATGAACCTATCAGTTCTGATCATCAACATAAAGTTTCCCATCTGACTAAATATAACCTGAAAAAATTTATCATCTACTGTTTATGACTACAAATTTGCTAATGGTCTGGGTATTAGTTAAACACCAGGATTAAGTGCTTCTGCAAGTGTCTTGAACCTCTTTGGCTCTCACGATGGTTCGTTGGCCTCATTCCAGGTTCCTTGCCAACCAACTATGAGCTCTACTATGGCTTCACAAGGTTTGCTATTGAGCTCAACGAGTTAGATCCTGTCCTGAAAGACCTCCTCCCACCAACAGACGCCCGGTTCCGGCCAGATCAGAGGTGAGCGTAGCAGTGGCATTTAAAATGGACTAGATCATGGCAGGTGCTACACGTGTCATCGAGACTTACTTGCACCACCATCACTTATTTCTTTATTGAATCATCTGTCCTTTCCCTTATTTACTCAGAAATGTTTGAGTTTCCCACCCTGGGTAAAACAGCCTTCATAGAGTGATCAGAAGATTAGCTCAACAAGTTTCCCCTCTCACCCCCAAATTTACTAGAAGCCTGCAAAGTCATGAATTTGCTCTCTCCACTAAATACATAATCACTCCTCACCCAGTATTTGTACCTTTTTACTTCTATTGCTCTGAAGCATGGAGTGTCTTTTATACTGAAGAATGAGATAATAAGGTACAGAGACACCTACAAATGCTTTTAGTCAAAGTCTGGAGTTTGCCCAACATGGTTTGGATCTCACAGGGTGTGAGATGTACTCAAAATGCAGTACCTTTAATACCTTCTGATTCATATGTTTTATTATTCTTACACTAGAGGCCCGGTGCATGAAATTTGTGCAAGGCGGGGGGTCCCTCAGCCCAGCCTGCATCCTCTCCAATCCGGGACCCCTCGGGGGATGTCTGACAGCCAGGATCAGGCCTAAACCGGCCATCGGACATCCCTCTCGAAATCCAGGACCACTGGCTCCTAACCACTCACCTGCCTGCCTGCCTGATAGCCCCTAACCACTCTGCCTGCTTGCCTAATCGCCCCTAACCACTCTCCTGCCTGCCTGATGGCCCTAACTGCTCCTCTGCCTGCCTGATCGCCCCTAATCGCCTCTGCCTGCCTGCCTGATCGCCCCTGACCACCTCTGCCTGCTTGCCTGCCTGCCTGCCTGATGCCCTAACTGCTCTCCCCTGCCAGCCTGATCCCCCTAACTGTTCTCCCCTGCTGGCCTGATCATCCCTAACTGCTCTCCCCTGCTGGCCTGATCGCCCCTATCTGCCTCTGCCTCGGCCCCACCACCGTGGCTTTGTCCAGAAGGATATCCAGAAGACGTCTGGTCTATTCGGTCTAATTAGCATATTACCCTTTTATTCGTATAGATAGTTCTGTATTTGTGTTGCCCATTCTTACAGAATTAATTTTACTTTTTTCCAAAACCTTGTCATACAAATTCCATCCAAGATCATTTTCAGTGTATTTGTGGTTTTATTTGTCTTCTGCCAAAATGTTCCCAGTATTGAAATGTTCTGCTACTCAGTTCTCCTGTATTCCTCCCCCTACTCCAGAGCACGCAGTCTCACTGTTTGACATTCACATGTAAGCATCTTCTATGATGTGTATCATACTGTGTCCCTGGTCTTTTCTCTCATTTTGGAATTTAAATATTTGCAAATCGCCATGGGGTCTGCTTTTTCTTTATTAATTCTATTTCTGTATTTCCTTTCTGAATTTCACTTATAATACATTTCCTTTGTGTGGCCTTTTTGTAATCTTCCCCAACTGTTCCCTTTTCTTTTTTTCATCAGTTTTACTCTCTCCCATAAAACAGGAGAAAACTCCTTCCTTCTCAATCTGTTCTAAAAGTAGATGGAGAGCAGCCAGTTTCCACCCGCCATCCTGTGGCCTTTAACAAGTGCTTTTTGATCATATGGGAACGGAGCACCCCCTGGGACTCCACACTGTTCTAACTCGTGGAGACCTCACGCCGTAGAACCCTAGACAGCACAGAGAAGTGTTCACGCCCGAACCGTTCCCCTCTCACTCCTCCCGTGTGCTGCCCGTGCGAATTCCATCCACACACACAGGAAGTGTGCTCACTGATGGCAGGCAGGGGTGGTGTGGGCTGGAGCAGGGCGAGGGGGTGCTCTGTCCCAGTGTCACTGTTCACAGGAGCCAGAATGTAATTTCATGCAAATGAGATCATTTTTTATCAGAAGAGAGGATGATCTATTAAAAGGTGAACTGCTCTCTGCTTAGATTTTTGGAAGAAGGAAATCTGGAAGCTGCAGCAGCCGAAAAGCAAAGGGTGGAGGAACTGCAGAGATCGCGAAGGCGCTACATGGAAGAAAACAACCTTGAACATATACCAAAATTCTTTAAGTAAGTCAGTTCCTGAGCCTAACAAGTTCGTGTTGTGCAAATGGTTTCCACAAGCAATGGAAAACTCCAGCTGAAGAGACAACGGAGGATAGTTTAATGTCCAGGGAACCGAAAGGTGGAAAAATTAAACCGATTTCAGTAAATGGCCTTGGCAGAGAAAATACTGGATCAGGATCAGATTTTGCACTTGGGAAAACCTTTTGTAAGCATAGAAGTAATTTGTTTGCCTAGCCAGTGTGGCTCAGCAGCTGAACATCGACCCAGGAACCAAGAGGTCACTGGTTCGATTCCCTGTCAGGGCACAGGCCCAGGTTGTGGGCCCAGCCAGTGTGGGATGTGTAGGAGGCAGCCAGTCAATGATTCTCTCATCATTGATGTTTCTATTTCTCTCTCCGAAAGTAATTTTTTCTCCACAGCTCTTTTCTTTTCATGAGCAGCAAAAAGGAGTGAGGGTCTCCCCCAGCCCAGAGCGTTCTTTGTCCTTCCACTCCAGCCTTTCAGATGGTGGAAACTTGTTCCCACTCAGAGACAGGATGGGACCCCTCTGCCCACAGGTCATCCTGGCTGCATATATCTTTCATTTTATCTCTGGCACGGGGGGCTTATGTCCATTCAGATTTGTTCCCTCTGTGGCGTGATCGTGGGTGGTTATTACAGGATTATTTGCAGGACTATGTCTACATCACAGATTAAACTGTAGTTTCCAGGCCCATCTGCTGCCCTCTGGAGCCAGGACAGATCAGCTCCGAATAACCTCATCTCCCTTAGAGCAGCTGCTCTTGGCTGCCCTGGGGAGGAACGCAGCCTCGCCCTTAGGTGTCAGGCCCTGCAGAGAGCTTAGCTGCTGAGGTTGGTACTTTCCCATGAGTGAGGCACAGACTGTCTTGTGGGTCTGAGGCCTGAAGCTCTTAGTTACCTATTGTACATACTTTGCTTGGGGCACTTCACTTTCTAGCTCTGCCTGGAGAGGATTTTTTTCCTGCCCTCAGCCCCTCTCCCAATGACCCTACCCACCTCCATTTCAAATGTTTAACAACAGAAATAGTTCATTTCCGGTCCAAAATAGTCAAGTCATCCGCAAGCAGATAGGACACTAGCTGGCTTACCAAGAACTGCGAATGGTTACCCAGGACTGCTTATCCATCTTATCTGCAGGGCAGGGGCCGACAATCTGGTCACCTTGGTGTGACTTGTGTCTAATGTTGATTTTTCTGTTTTCACAGGAAAGTGGTTGATGCCAATCAAAGAGAAGCCTGGGTTTCTAACGACACCTACTGGGAGCTGCGAAAGGACCCTGGGTTTAGCAAAGTAGACAGCCCTGTTCTCTGGTAACCTGGGCATGTAGAGCTAGCCAACATATCACGCTCTGAATGAATTACTAACTATGCACAATTATGTTTCTTAGAGCTCCGCGTGGTTTCTGGGTCGACCGAACGCCGGCCATTTGCTTTTCTATTCATCTTTATAATGGACTTTCAGAAGTGCATTAGACAAGGCCCCTAACCACGTTTGGATCCTTTCTGTTTTGCTGCAACCATATTCCTTAAAAAATAAAATAAAAAAAAAAATCCACACCCTCCTCGGAAAGAAGAATTAAAGGAGCAGAATGTAAAAATCCAAAGTCTGATGAGTTTATAAAGAAAAACACACTGTAACCGGTGCTTAAAGCCGATCCGGAGAGTTTAAAGCAACGTGACATAAACCACGCGTTTGGAAGCGCCATCCCCTCATCAGAGGAGCTCCTGGGCTCAGACTGGAGTGTGTCGTCCGATGTGGTGTACCCGTGCTGGCCTTGTCCATGAAGACGTGATGCTTCTCAGAACCTGTCCCATCTGTACGCCATTGTTCATGCCTTAAGAAATGCAAAGATGTACAATAAATCATTTTTTTAACGTGTGCTCATAGGTTTATGTGGAGGACAGACCTTTTGAATCATGGCATGATTCACTTTCTGGGACCAGAACAATTATGAGTGTAACTTCAGTGGATGAAAAAAAAAGTAAACAACATGTGCTTTACTTTGATGTGTCGGTTACTGTATCGTATGTCTGCAGGGCAAGAAGGAAACGGTGTGCCAGGTCGATTTCTGTAGTCACATTGCTTGTCAAGCTCCTGTCCTGCGTCCAGATAATAAACCATCCCCCTTGTACCTAACCTCACAGTGTGCCCTGTTTTTGGCAATATCTGTGTTTGATTTGAACACTTGGCATCCGTGTTAAAGCCGTGGAAAGAAATAACAATAAGCAGATGGCATTTCTGGTTGGGCTTAGGAGCACTATAATTGTTGAGTGAAGCACAATGTAATAATACGCATTACTATCCTAAGCCCAGCCCAGTGGCACCAGTGGAAATCCCACTGGGAACAGAAGCAAGAATGCTAGTAGCTTATTTGCATTGTTTAAATGAGTTCTATGCAAATCATATTTTACATTTTCATCAAGTGATTCTGTATGATACATGGCTATATATTAAGCATTTCCCTTGCTATTGGCAGAGATATAAAACTTAAGCTAAAGAGTTTAAGGGAGGGGGACAGAAATGTGTTTTGCATACTTCAGTATTTGTTCTTCCCTCCAGTATACAAAGGGTTTTGTAGGAAACTTGCATCCATATTCCTGAGTTTCTGCACGTAGATGACTATATAAATGCTTGTATGTTTTTTTAAAAATTCTCCCTAGACATTAGTTATAAAATGACATATATTTAATTCCTAGTTAGGTTTTTTATTCTAGATTCTGACCATAAGGTTTTAAGTGTTATTTTAAACTCTGGTAACGAGGTTACTGGCATTTTGCATTTTGTTAAAAGGTGTTGATTTTAGTATTATTTCTCAGCAAAGCTTTCCTAATAACAGCTAATCCACTATCAAATCTGAACTGCTTATGAGAGCATATGGCAAGCTCTGAAGTTTCTACTAAGTGGAGCAACATTTAAAATATCCCTCCTTTGATCTGGGCCCTGCATTGTGCATACAGTATGCATTGCTCTAGAATGAAACTTCACCCTCAAGTAAATCCCATTGCCAGGTCTAACTGTTCCACTTAAGCAACGCCCTCCCTAGGTTTCTCAATGCCTTCGAGTCACATTTTAAATTCATAGGTGGCTTGCTTGGTGGTAGTAAAATGTCCCCTTGTTATCGATTGCTTTTCTTGACTCCCTTTTATCTGCATCCTGAGATACATGCCTATAATTTTCATTAGAATTTAATCAGAATTCTATAACTTCCTCATAAAGTCTGCTGTTCCCCGTTGGTAAAGCTTTAAATACCATCTCAAGTGGTTCCGGTCTGTACTTACTAGTGTTTCCATGAACCGTCTCAAACTGTTTCACCTAAAGATAAGGACAGAATTTTACAAAGTAGAGGTGTTCCAAGTAGGTAAGTCAGAAGGTGGGGGTATAAAGATACATTGAGTCCTGCTCTCCCCATCAGTTACCAAGGGATTTATCAGCCAGACAGCTGGGAGAGGACCCAGCACCCTCAGGGAAGCAACTACTGTTTGGGTTGTAATTGAGAAAAAGAATAACTAGTGGAGAGGACCTGTATTAGTAAGTTCCAGCCACAAATCAGGTAAGTGAGTGTTGGTCAGAGCTCACCTGAAACTCTGATGAGGATTTTAAACTGAGAATGAGAAGAATGTCAAGTTAATTAAAATCATATTTTATAATATCTCCAATTTAGAATCTCTCGAGATTCAGGCTTCTTGATTAGACTTCCAATACAAGTGGTCAATTGAAGTTTAGGTAATACTCCTATAATACCAGCTTCACAAACCTCCCCCTCAAATATTCAGAATGGAATGGCTTTATCCCCCACTTCATTTTTACTTCTGATGGATAGAGTGGCTTATAGAATTGGGAGACTTATTCTAGTTGGAATTTTCAACTGCAAAAATTGGGGGCTTTTGAGACTAAGCAGAAAAAAGGATAGACTAAGTATTAGATGAAACCTGATTTATTTTTTAGAATTTTACATAGGTCTTTTTATGTCCAGGGTACTTTTCTTATTTGTTTCTCCCTAAAGCAATAGAGGATAGAGGAGGACTCAATATGCCTTTACAGCTCCCTGTGAGGTATTCATCAGCTCCTTCATGTCTGAGCTGGTCATTAAGGAAAGCCAGACGAAGTGACGATGGCTCCTTGGACGTGACTGGACAGCACAGAGCAACGGCACACACCCGCACAGACAGACTAATTATTTTGCTTCTGTATGCTGCCACCAGGGTACAATTTACCCTCAGAGTTTGCTGTCATTTTACTGTTTTTTTAAGTCATTGTATTTCATGGGTTACTCTAAAATCCCCCCATCGATGTGTCTCTCGCATCGCTGTTTCTCTCTCTGTGTCTCTCCCCCTCCTTTCCACTCTCTCTAAAAAAAATCAATGGAAAAATATCCTCGGGTGAGGATTAACAAAAAAATTTTAAAATGAAAAATAAAATAAAATACTCCATACTTTCCAGGCAATTGCAAAAATAAACCTCACGTGAGATACCTTTTAATATTACATATCAATTTTATGTAACAAATTATATCAATTATATGTGACCAAAAAAAAAAAACCTACCAAATGTATTTTCTGGGTAAGATAAACCAATGGGATTTGTTTCAATACGAGAGATGCCAAGTTGTCATTTTCCAAACCTTTGCTCTTCATTATTCTGACCCCATGCCTTCCAGACACTCATTAGATCCCGCCCTAAGAAGCCCTGGTGGGCAGGGTTAGCGGGGAAACTGATAAAACTATTTTGCTTAGTTCTGGTTACGCTGTGGCTGGAGAAGTGTTTATCGTCATCATCTAATGTGCATTTTTGTTATTACCTTATGGACTTTAATTACCCATCTTGTCTAATCTTGTTATCTGTCATCCTAGATAATGAGGTGTCAATGGGAGCAGAGCTCCGCACACACCAGAGGGTGTAAACATGTTTGCACTCGGCTCAAGTGGTCCATGATGGCTGTGGCACAGTGAATACAGCGTTTGTGTACAAAATCTTGGTTTATTTCTATGGCAGCCATTATGTCAGGATGTATAAAATGTATCTAATTAAACAATTACGAATCTATTTTGTGCTCTGGGAATGTTCTTTGGGGGAAAAGATGGAAAAAATGTCATGGGAGCTAAGACTAAAGTGCTTTCCTTTGGATTTCTTTTGGTGTTTATTTCCAAAGCTTCCCATTCATTTAGAATAATCAAACCAGGATTAGATCCTGTAAATTTTAATTTAATTTCTTTTGTAAAATTGATACATTTAAACTGTACATTGTATGAATCTCTGTGTTAAACCTGACTTTAATACGTAATTGTAATAATATACCTTTGTGACGGAATTTTAAGGCCTTGTCTCAGCCTTTCCTATTACAGAAAATGGCAAATTGTTTAAGAAAGAGTTAGTTTTAATTCTTCCAAAATGAGGTCTGAAGAAGAATTAATTCTTTAAAAATTGTTGTGATAACCAGAACGCCCAACATCTTAAGCCAATGAAGCCCCATGGTTAAGACAGCTTACAGGTGGCAGTTACCTGTGAAGCAAATGCATCCTTTTGTTTTCCAAACAACTACGAATTGGTGGGTTTTCTCCTTCCTTCTGGTCCTAACCTAGTGAGGGGCAGGGAAGCATAGGGCCATTCTCTGCCCTGTGCCACTGAGTGATTGTAACAGTCAGCAATGTGTCCAGTGTCAGGGTGAAATATCAGTATCAGAACCACTGCATGTAGCCTCCTGTGGGACACTATTAAATGCTCATGGATTGAAAATTACCCCATAATTACATGGTATTAATGTCCTCAGTATCTCCAGGTGGGTAGGAAAAGACATAAAACAAGAATGTCCATTTTCTGCAAAATCTCTATTTCCTATCATGCTTTCCTTCTACATACAGTACATTAGGGCAACTGCAGAGGGAATAATATGGAGTTTTCAGAAAACAGATATAATGCTATTTGAGTTACATCTGTTTCTTTAGTTAATAGAGCAAGCAGCAACTTAATACTGTGAAAGAGAGAATAATGCTAAAATTGCTACTTTTTTCATCTTAGGCACCAACTCCCCTTACTTATCCTCACTCAGTTATTTCCTTGGGAAATAATGTAGTTGCTAGAAACCTTTTAAGTCATTTCAGGCTTATTTTCAAAGCTTTATTGAGGTGTGACTAACATACAGTAAGCTTGACGTATCTGAGCTATACAATTTGATAGTTTGAGACACTGTCACCACAATCACAACAGTGAATTATCATCACCAGCAAACAATCCCCCCTCTATCATCCCTCTCTCCTGCCCCTCTCCAATCTCCAGCCCAGGCAATCACGGATCTGCTTTTTTCACTTATTAAAATCTGCATTTTTTTTTTTTGTATTTACTGCATATGGGTTTTTTTCTAGAAGGTGTGGGCATGTGGGTAGATGTATGCCTCCAAATTCCTCCCTGGCCACTACCCCGATACCCACCATCACATGGGCACACGTTACAAGAGAAAGAGAATGTTAAGTTCTAGTTCTGAGAGCCCGCTGACTACTTTAGGTTTGAAATACTCAGTAAACAATGGCCGTTTTTCACCTCGAAATGGCCACGTAAGTTAAGGAATTCACTCCCCTCTGTCCGAGGCTCAACAGGAGGGTGGGACTGACCCGCTGGCAGCGCTGAGGCAGCCTGGGCAGTGTTCTTCTCTGGGAAACGATGCCATTTTGTGACGCTGATGAGGGGAGTAGTCTGTACTGAGTTGTTTCTCATTTGCCTCCCAAGCCCCCCTTTTGTGTCACAAACACCTGAAAGTCCCGGTGCTCAGAAGGCTGCTGCCCCGTCTCTGCCCGGCCCTCACTTCCTACCTGGAAACAGAGCTCCGACCTCCAGTTTTGGAAAAGAAGCGGAAAAGCCTGTTCCTCCAAAGTAGAAAACTGCCAGGGACTGTAGCATCCAGCATGACTGACCCCGAGTGCTGATGGAGAGGAAAGGCAGGAGTGAGGGGAAGAGACATGAAACACAGGGAAGAAGTAGCTCCTCCAGGTGGGGCCAGCAGAGGCGCCTGGGCTGCGCCGGTGAGCCCGGGGGCCCAGGTTATGGTCTTTGAAGTTTGTTCCCAGGCAGGTTGATTCCTCAGCCTCCCTCCACCGATTCTGAGTCCTTAGATCTGGGGTGTGGGCCAAGAAGCTGCATTTTAA